AGCAGAAGTTGCATACGTGACTCAACAGGCTCTGTAGCATGCATTCACTCTCGTTCACAGCAGTGCTGTACAATTACACAGCATCAGAAACCACCCCTCAAAATGCAAGGATGCAAAAAGAAAAATCTCACATATCACACTGCTCACACCATGACTAACTAAAAGCTGATACACCAGAAAACCAACTCCACTCTACTAGAAGACATTTTGTTCACAATCTTACCACCTTTCTATGCTATCAAAGCAGTGTAAGACAAGCAGTATTCAGCTGAGTGGCCACTTGGGAAGAATGGATGAGAGAAAAAGAGAGCATGAGCATGCACAAAACAGAAAGTTTGTGTGGACTGAAATGCCACAACAGAAGGCAAGAAAGCAGTTTGAAACAAAGGATTTATCTGCTGCTTTGCCCCTGACATTGTCACCCTGCTAAATCACACTCTGTAGCTTCTCTTGTTCATTTTGGTTTTAAACCCAGATGATGATTATGCTACAAAATGGTGTTTGTTCCATGCTATGCAAAACACAACAGGCATTTTGGCCAAGGCAAACTCAGAACGTAAGTGCTAATAGCGTAAGTGCCTCAGGGATCAGCGAAACAGGGTGATCAATCAATAGCAGAACAAAGTCCAGAGAAGTGTGTATGTCCCTGCACTTTGTGTCATTGCTTTCCTAACTGATTCCTTTCTTGGCTTCACTGTCAGCAAGAACAAATATACTGAGGGCAGTATCCATCAGCCCCATTTAATCCTGTCAAGTAAGATCAAGGAAGTTTATTGAGCCAAGTATCACCTTTCTTCCTGAGTATAGCAATATCCTCCCGATGTGAAACCCAAAACTACAGGGTTGAATGCTGACTACTCCCTGAAAGGCAGCTTTAAAAACAAGTCCTTCACTCTGGGTGAGTGGTAAAAAATAATGAGTAAAAAATCACCTAACTTCAAATCCTCAGCAGCACCGGGTAGATCTTTCCCTTTCTTCTACTTTCTGAATTTTAGAAATGCTACAAATAGACGCCTTAGTGTGCTCACCTGCTTTGGCTGGCCATGTTACCACCAGGATGCAGCCAAGTTTCACTCAGTTTCACAGGTCTATGCATCTCTAAATACTCAGGAACCACGAAAAGTACTTTTCCATTCAGAATATTTCAGTGCAGTGCTCACTCAAAGAACAAATTTATTTGAGAAATTCCAGAACCCAAATCCAAAATTTGCATTTGAAGGTTACCCAAAGAGCTGGCTGAAGCCATCGCAAGAACTCTCTCAACTATTTTTCAACAATCTTGGGAGCCCAGAGAGGTCTCAGCCAACTGTAATCTGGTAAACATGGAATCAATTTTCCAATAAGAAAGAATACCTTCATGATTATAGGCCTGTCAGTCTCACTTCAGTGCCTGGTACTGACGGATTAATTAATTATTAATTAAATAATAACTATTAATCAAGAGTATTGTGTGAGTTACTGAAAAACACTTGAAAGACAACGCAGTCTTGGTCATAGACATCATGAGTTCGTAAACAGCAAGTCCTATTTAAGTAAATTTTCTTTTATGACAAGGTTACCCACCAAGTTGAACAAGGGAAGTCAGTTGATGTGATCTACTTTGATTTCAGTACAGCTTTTGGTACTATTTCTAAGAGTATCCTTTTGGACAAAATGTCCAGCATACTGCTAGACAAATATAGAACGTGATGGGAGGTCAAAGAGTCACAGCAAATGGGGTTACATCAGGCTGCTAGCCAGTCACTAATGGGGCTCCCCATGGTACCATTTTGGGGCCAGTTCTCTTCAATGCTTTTATAAATGATCTGGACTTAAATGCATACTAAGGAAGTTCATGAACGATACTAAATTAGGAGGAGCTGTTGACTCCTTCAAGGGTGGAGAGGCTTTGCAGAGAGATCTTGACAAATTAGCTCCTCACATGGAGCGAAGAGGCAGCGCTGAGCTCAGCTCTGTGTGACAGCCACAGGCCTGAGGGAACGGCATGGAGCTGCGTCAGGGGAGGGCAGCTGGGGGTGAGGGAAAGGATCTGCACCACAGGGCGGTGGGCATGGAAAGGCTGCGCAGGGCAGTGGGCACAGCCCTGAGCTGCTGGAGATCAAGGAGTGTTTGGACACTGCTCTCAGAGGTAGGGTTCGAGTTTTGGGGGGTGCTGTATGGAGCTGGGAGTTGGACCTTATGATCCCTATAGGTCACTTCCAACTCGGGATGTTCGATGATTCTGTGAGTACCTACCACCACTGTGATTTACAGTTTGTAGCCTTGAACTTTGATATAGTTGGGCTTTCCTCCAGTATTTGTATAGACATTTGAGAGCTTAAACAATTCTCATCAGTTTCTTAATCTCACACTAGTTTCTAGTGTTATTTCTCCTGTTATTTCTTCCTGGTTTTCTAGAAAACCAGCAAATAACACCCAACTACAGGAGCACAGTCGATGAGAAAAAAATATATGTTTTTGCCTACAGCACAAATATGCAACACAGATTATAAAGGTTCTTTGCTCTGTGGTAAAAAAGACTTCACACTGAATACATGTCACAGATTCAGATTTTAATAAAGCGACCCCCACTTTTATTGCTATTAAAGTCTCAAAGACCTTATTTCAGAGTTCTGGCACTCATCCCTCTCCTGCAGAGTACAAGGCATCTGGGATTAGAGACTTGACCTTCTGCCCACTGAAGTAAATGGGAAGTTTCTCACTACTTCAGTGATAAATAAGGTCAAGGAACATTTGTCAGATGCAGTGTAGCTGAAAATTAGGACACAGTTCTTAAAATTCTGGCTATAGTTTACACGCACTTTAGTTTCTTTCTGTACAAGGTGACCTGCTTAGGTCAGCAAGACTGCAACGCTTCTGTCGTTAGTTCCACAGAACCCCTAATTAATGTTACTATTTTTCCTAATGAAGTCAGTAAGTGCACTACTTGTACCTTCATAACCTGAAACACTCGATGGACTGATAAAAAGTTTGCCATAAACCATTTTAATACCAATTTAGGGGCACCCGTATGGCGGCACAGCATCACCTGCAGCACACAAGCAGCCTTGCAGTGCTGGGAGAGCACAGCTTTATGTGTGTGCATGCAGGTAACAAAGAGCCTGACACCTGAATAAACCACTGAAAATCAACCTGGCTGTTTGCTGAAAGATATCCACAAAAAACTTCCAAAATGCTCATCCCCAACGAGCTTCTCCACAGGCTATGCAGTGTAACACACGCTAGAAATTTATTCTCCTGAGATTTCTGAGAAATGAATCTCCAGATGTTTCTTTCTTGCTGCTTGCTGTTAAGTGAGGCAGGCCTGACTGTGACAGTTAAGGATTCAGCAACAGGCTTAAAACCCTCCATTTCATAAACATTAGTGCAATTAGAAAATGTGCCAGTCTGCTCCTCTTAGCAACCAATAGTGAAGGGCAGAAAGGAAAAAGCTGCCATGGGCATCACATTATGTGTATGCAATTTCCAGAGCAAGGTTTGAACTGTTCATCACAAAACGAGGGCTGCCTGAGCTGGGAGCTCCTGCTCAGATCCATGTTATTGCACAGCCTGGCTGCCAGCAAAAGACAGATTAGAAACGGTGCTGCCAAGTGCTAAAAATGCTAGGCAACCAGGTTTTACTGAGAGCACCAAAAGACCTTGAACTTAACTCCTTATTTTAGAGCAAGCAAATGCCAAGAATGGAATTCGTACAAATTATTAAAATACATTAATTTTAGTTGCACTGTCAGAAATGATTATACTTGTGCATAATAAATGCAATGGTCGACAATGAGCAAACATCAAGTTTTGTTAAAAGACTATTATAAAACAGAGACAAAATAACATATTTACATTTTAAAGGAAAATCATTAATTTAAAATGTATCCAAGGGTAATGAAAAGTCATCCAAAATTTAAAACATAATGCTGAATAATCTGATTCAATATGAATGCTATTTCCAACATAATACTTAAGAACTTCAATAGAATTTCCCTGCCAGCTGGTTCTGAACTTTTTTTTTTCTTTTTTAAGTAAGCAATTAAATTCCAGAAGCAAAGCTCTCAGTAATTCTGTCACAGCAGTTGTTATGTTCAAAGTGCTTTACAGGCATTAAACCCCCCAGCAACCTAGGGAAGTCAGTAAGGAAATGTTAGCATTCCCATTTTACACAAAGGAGAAAAAAAAAAAGAAAACGATCCTTGAGAGTTATTATCCAAGATCAGAGAAGCAGTTTCGATTCTACACATACTAAGGGACAGATAAGCCAGGCTAACCCTCAGCAAAACATTTCTATTTAGCAAAGCACTTAATCATTTGTCTAGATACTTAAATGTTCCCAAATTCAGTTCTAATGAGTATGCACGTAGTCAAACGAATACACTGGAGGAGACCTAACAATGCATCACAATAACATGCACCAAGGAAGAAAAAGCCATGGTGAGCAAGCTTTCAAGTGAAGCTGAGGGTATATAATCTTAAACATCATGGAGGGTTGGAGCTAGGAGCTGGACCAGAGCCAGAGTCTTTAACTGCAGAGCGATGACAAGGAAAGCAGGGGCACAAAGCCATACCTGCACTACAATATGCAGGACAGATCCAGTACTTTCTTGGGCTTTGTAATGCTATTATTAATACAGATGAATTGTGAAGAGTGGACCTTGACAGGCTTGTAGTACACTGCTCTCCCACAGACAAACCTCAGCATGGTTCAGGAGTTACCATGAGCCAGGGACACTTCTCAACAGGTCCTGACATTTCAGAAACTGAAATTTAACTGTCATAGGCATGGGTCACTTTATGCCAGCAAGCTGCAGCGCTGAGTAACGCCTAGTTTACTTGAGCAGATGTGATTAGTGAACGTCAGTCATAGGAATCCTTACTGCACATAGTGTTGTATGGGAACTGCTGAATCACAGCCTGAACCTCTGATTGATCACCTGAGGCGAGCAGTGAGCCAGCCATGGGAGCACAGGTGAATTGCCCCACCTCTCCTAGACCTATTTAAGAGCTGACTACCAGTGGGAAAGGATCTCTGGAGATCCCTTCTCTGGAGTTGTGCAGCGAGACCAGGATGTGGGTAAGCATTCTATCTATTCTCTTTTTGTTATTATAATCTGCTCTGCCAAACTCTCTTGTTTAATTCATAATTATAACATCTTTATATTCATTGACTATGCAGTGTGCAATAAACTATAGCCAAACCTTGTGAGCAACGTGCAGCTCAAACTTAAACACCACTGGACATCTCCTCTGTGATTCCCAGCAGTGGACCAGCAAGCGAAGGTCACAGTAGGGCTCGTTGGCTGTCAGGGGAGCTTGATGCCAAGCTGTGTAGATATTCATCTAACATTAGTATCTGTTTGCTTGGCAGGCTCCAAAGGCAGTTCAGCTGACAACTCTGAATTTGCCTCTGGGTCTGCCACAAGATCATATAACTGGGGGACTTCTGGGAATGCCTAATGCTTCTTTGATGAAGATCATGCACATCGTAATAAATTAGAGCCTTTCTCAGCATCCTTTGAAATCAGCATTTGTGACCTCTCAGAATTATCCAGGTACTATGGTTGGCTTAAGTGGCATTTAAACCACAGCCAAACTTGAACATCACACTATCAGTTCCGTCAACAAGTTTATGTAATGACCCTAATAACAGAAAAATCACTTTTTTTTTTTTTTTTTAATGTTAACATGGGTTGTTGCTACTGGTAACATCAAAGGCTGCTCCTAGGCTGGCCTCAAAATGAATACAACAACCGTTAAACCATGTACATCAAACCATAGTGGAAAGAATTAATGTTAACCTTTTGTTAGTGGCTTTCACTATGGTCTAAAAGCTCATCCCATAATACTGTTCATGAAAGACTGAAGTCCTTGTGTATATAGGAATCCAGCACAATAAATGTGATGAAAGATGGGATTACTCATGCTTAAAATGAAGGCATGCTAAATCACTCTTGCATATCAGGAACTAGAGGCACTCCTAGCCATAAAAGACTGAGTTCTAGAGAGTCAGAGTGTGCAAAGAAGAATAAATTTGATAACAAGTTGAAGTGCATCTTATTTCTAGTAATTACTGCACTTATTCTCTTAAAAAAATCACTTAAAGAACAGAAGATAATGAGTCAATGTACTTCACCTCAATCTGTGTCTGATAAAGAAACTTCAAACACTGTTAACAGCCTCAGGAAACAAACATCCCCATTTTGCAATATTCCCAAAGGATACCAATTACATAACAAGACTGGATCAGCGTATATTACAAATGCTATGGACAGCATCTAAAAAAGCAACTGAACCGTTTGCTTGTGAAGCAATTTCAGATTCTTTTTCTACTCTGAGGAATGTGACAACAGTCAAGTACCTCAGTATATTTCCTAAAACAGTCCTTAAAACTTCTTCCAGTCTAATAACACAATACTGCAAGTAGGAACTCAGCCTGCTTCCACTGCATTCACAAATGGGAACCTCCAAGCTCCAAACCGTGTTTTAAGACTAAGAGCTACCATTCTTTCTGCATCAAATAGTTAAATGCAAAATACAGCTTCTGCTAGCATACAGGTAAAACTCAAAAGTTGAGTAAAAAACAGCCTGAAAAGCCAACCTTAGCAGGTCAGACTTGTGTCTCCCAAACAGAGACAGAGCAGTTTTCTTAGAAGCCTCCCCGGATCAGAGGGCTTCAAAGCATACTGTGACAGCTCACCAATCTGCAGGCACCTTTCCCATGGCCACACAACCTGGGGCTGTATCATTGGAGAGCTGCTAATGTTCAGCCCATACAGATAGCATTTAGACTTCTAAGCCCTCAATAGATGTGCAGGGCTCCCCCCGCCCCCATACCCTTGAAGATGTGCCTTGCACTCATCACTGGTTGTTAAAACAGACCGCAGTAATTACTGCTGTGCTCTCAAAGCCAAGCGAGTTCTGCGGCACGAGGCCAACCAAAGGCTCAGCTCTATTTTAATCCCACTATAATTATAAACGATAGATGTGCAGTTGAGATGCTACTTTTGAATTTTTGTTTGCATGAGGGTGTATTTATGCCCTGCAGAAGAGCACTGCAGAGAAATATTTGAGCTTGCATTACCTGAACTGGCATCAGTGCCGAGATAACAACGTCAGCTCAGTTCTGAGCCTGCGACAGCACTGCTGGCAGGACACACCACTGCATTCCAAGCTAAATACAAAACATACCTTTTCACCATCCTCCATTAAGCAATGTTGACATATCTATTAAACGCAGAATGAAGAGAAAAGGTGTTGACAGGTTTCTCTGAGGCAAAACACGCTTATTAGGTGTTCAAAGGACTGTGATAAGGTGAAAGTTGTCACCCAAGCTGGAACCAGGGAATACAGGCTGGAAAATTAGCCAAAGGGTGGCTGGGTAGAGAGGGCCACCATGTCCCACAGGCTGGTGTGGACTTGCCACTGCCATCATGCCCTGTGCTGCAGTGAAGAGGGCAGCAGAGAGACCCAGACACGTTACTTGGACTCATTACAATGGTATTTTTAGTTCACATTTTTATCCCTAAATGATGCCATATTTATAAGAAAAAAAAAAAATCTTTTACCTTGGAAAGCAACTTTGGTTGGAATAACACAAGCAGCTTCTACTTCAGCAGCTTCATACACACTTGCATATTTAGCAGCAAATTCATTTGAGATAGTTTTGCTCCTATGTGTTTTCCACTAACTGGAGCGTCTAGTGCAAAGTAATATCATACAAATGATACTATAAGTACTTTGCAATGGAACCACTAAGAAGTCTGGTAAGTATTTACATGACATTCTCCACATATAGCTACTGCATGTTATTTTCTTTCCAAGTATGAAAGACTATAAGAAGTACAAGATGTGAAGAAATGGAAATAAATCATTATTACTGTGTTTCAAAGACAGAGAATAAACAAAACAATTTCCTCTGGATTCTGTTAGTTGGAGAGAACAAATTCTCCTAAATCTTGAAGCAGAGCCTCATATTCCATGTCAGCTCAACAAATTTGTCTGTTAACTGTTCACACATGGTCTTGATTGTCTTTATCTACAAGTAAGATGTGGACCTTTCACAACAGAGAAGTATCTTTCAAACTTACAACCAATGCATAATGACAAGTCTTGAATGTCCTGAATTAATATTCAGACAAGGAGTTAACCATACGCGGGGGAGGAATGCAAATTTCATCAATAAAATACAGTGCAAACCATAGAGTACATGAAATATCCCGAGTTGGAAAGGACCCACAGGGCTCACTGAGTCCAACTCCAGGCTGCAAACAGGACCACCCAAAGATTAGACCAATACAGTGCAATAACAATAAAATTTAAATGATATTAAATAAGAAGAGGATACAAGCTCGTATCAGAAAGGGGACTTTATTTAAGTCCTCCATGCGTAAAATAGATGCCTAAAGAAAGTAGTTAGGGCCTTCAAATTCTTTGCAGCTGGACAACAGGAAATACAGGGACACTACTTTGGACTGATTGAACCTACCAAAGATGTACAAATTTGGAGAGAAAATCTGGTCCTCAAGATACAACACGATAACTTGGGATGACCCATCAGCTTCACTAACACAGGGAAGCAAAAGCAAGCAGAAAATCTTTCTTTTCTAATGATTTTGCACAGACTTAAGAGCACTCAACCTAAAAAAATTATGGAAAATCACCTGCCATCAAGAAATTACTCTTTTTTTTCAGAAAAAAAACCAGACAAATGAAAATTATTATCATAAAGACCCTATTGTGAATGAACGCATTTATTTGTTGCACCTGAAGTTTTTCCTGCTAGTGCAAGTTGAAGAGCCCTTCAAAAGATATCAGAGTATATGTATGGATATTGACAGAGTACAACTGTCCAGTTGTAGCTAAGAGCAAACCAATAGCTTCAAAAAATCAACATCAACCATACAGGCCTACTGTCATCAATATTTTATGATTTATTAGCCAGAAATAATAAAGTAATAAAGGAAAGCAACCAGAAAACTATACATAGCTAAGAGAAACCGCCTTGTACTCATTAGAAACAACGTGCAGTTTGATGACACTTTACAGACTTCAATTACCATACTCTGCAGGAAGGAGCTTTCAAACATCTGTATGATGATTATTTTCCACTGGGATGTCATTTACAGTGCAAAGTATTGAAAATAGGGCCAAAAAATCAATTATAATCTGTCTAAATGAGCACATTCTTGATCTAAGGGATTTGAACTTCTGGGTGGAAATTGGCTTAAAAAGAGAGACAGAAACTCATTTGATTCTGTGTGTGACAACAGCAACAAAAAAAAAAAGGGCAGAAAAACTTCTCATATCTGATTTGCACAAAATTTAACCTAGGGAGCATTAAAATCATGTTGTTGGTTTTTTATATAATATATAAGAACAGAAGACTTATATTAGAAGCCAGGCCTAACGAAGCAGTGACTAACCACAAGCTTTCCTTATTGAAGTTTTAATGTTAGTATCCAGAATTACTTTTCATTGACCAGTACTAATAGAATGAGTAAAGATATGCAAATACTAGGCAGGAGTACAGAATCAGATATCTTGTTTCTAAATCGTTCTAGACAAGTATTTTCACATTTACACAGAAAAAAGAAATATTAATATGTAAAAGTAACAGGGACAGAAAAAAAGCATGCAGTAGGCAATGAGAATTCATTTCAGTAGGTCAGTATTTAACATATTAGCACAGAGGACTAAGGATTTTACCCTGTAAATAAGGGAAACTGGTATAATGTGGAAAATCAAATTGCTAGAGAAAATACAAATGTAAAAAAAAAAAAAAAAAAAAAAAATCAAACAAATTACCATTTTTTAATTTAAAAAAAAGAAGGCTTTTATAAATGTCTAGAAGATTTTCTCTTCTTATCTACTGATTTTCAGACTACAGGCCTGTTATACAGGATATGCTTGGGAGGTACACAAGAGCAATGCCGAGTTTTTTAAGAGCAAATGGGAAGAATAGTAATGGTCAACCATGGAAATCAGCCAGCAAACATGCCAGGCATTGAATCAGGATCCCTAATCATGGTAGCAAATATGACAGCATTAGTCAGACTGCTCACCGCCAGTATGACC